TACTTTAATGTGTCTGCATTGAATATAAGCGGTCGATTAACCAAATTATATTCCTACGCATTAAAGCTACGATTGCAAGCCGACTAAGCTGGCATCTCGATTCATAATTCAGGCCAAAGCGAATCAAATGAACAACAATTGGCAAGCCAATTAATTATGGATATGCAGTGACAGCTAAATGCACACCAATTGGATGAGCTTAAGATGGATTTGGTGGCAATGTGGCTGGTGAGTGGAAGTGGGCTGGTCATAAATCTTTCAACGGCTTGTGGGTGAGGACCTGGGACAAAGTTTGTCCAGTGAAAGTGAGATGCGAAAAGTTGAGAGGCCAAGTTAAGTGAAGTCCCGGCCAAGCGTGTTTAGCAAAGTTCATTAGGCACTTACCAAACAGAGCGCACCGAGGGAACCTAATGTGCTTTGGCGTAATTCAACTAAACAAAGTACCAAAAGTTCTTAGCCCACTTTCAAAAGAGCCGGCAAAGAGGGCAAAGAGTTGGCCCTGAGGAGGTGGTTGTGCTCTCCACCCCCCGTTTCATAGATGAAAATCAAATGCGGTCATATCACCCACACACCTTGGCGCACATTCCTACCTCCATCCCACTATTGGCCACACATGCAGGCAGGCTGCCTGTTTGGTTGTCCGGTGGATGCCTGGCATTTTTGCATTTACCGACAACGTCCCATTCAGTGGCTGCAAAACTGTGCCACAGCACAATGTTGCGGCTGTGGCCATGGATGCCTCATCTGATACACTTTTCAAAAAGAATTATCTTTAAAATTAGAAACTTTTAAAGTGATTTGTGGTCTGAAGTTAAACAATAACCTCTGTTTTTAGATATTATCCTTGAAAATATATTCTTATTTAAGAAAAGACAATAGATAGAACTTTTTTTCTTCCAGTGTACAATGTTGTAACAAGCGAGATGGCTCGGAAGGGGGAGAGTTTGTTCAAGCGAACATTGTTAGCCTGCGGCCAAAAGGCTTTCAAAGTTTTCGTGGTTTGGCTGCCAAAGGGTGGCAAAATGGGGGGGTGGACGAGGGACGAGCGTGGGGGCCCGCTTTGAATTATTGCCAAGCATTCTAGGGTGGGATGACACTGGGCATCGCAGGGGGAGCGCAGTTGCCCTGCAAAAGGGGTAACCAATCGAGCAATGCTCTTCTGCCAAAGGACGAGCGAAAAAGTTAATTGGCAAATGGCCAAATGAGTTCAATTTGAAGTTGGCTGAAAGGCACAAAGCAGGGTAGTGCATCGAGCCAACTTAGTGCCAATGCGCTGTTTGAAAATTTAAAGAAAAATTGTAAGCCAAGAACAGTCCTTCAAAACAAGTTGCTGGCCAATGACATTGAATATTTAGAAATACGAATTGGAGGTTTTATTTTTATTAATTTTCTCTCTTTTTCTTAAAATTAATTTACCATAAAATCCATACCAGCTAGACAAATGCAGAGCTAAAGTTATAATTCCCATGATATTTCTGCTATATTTGGAACTCAGTCGATCTTAGCATACTTTTGTGGGCTGATGAGTTCCAATAATATAGGATGTGCCTGGGCATATGGATATGAGCGATATCCATATCTCGGCCAATTTTCATCAGATCATCAAGCGGAATACCTTAAAAGCTTTCTAGATCGATTCTCCATCAATCTGCATTAAAACCTCGAATCCAAATTTTGGATCCAATTTTTGTGAATTTTTCCGATGGACTCTCTTGAAAATGGGGAAGTGCCTGGGAGCGGCATATGGGCCACACAGCGATATCCATATCTTGGCCAATTTTCATCAGATCATCAAGCGGAATACCTTAAAAGATTTCTAGATCGATTCTCTATGAATCTGCATTAAAACCTCGAATCGAATTTTTGGATCCATTTTTAATCAATTTTTTCCATGAAATTTTTTTCCACTCCCTTGAAAATGGGGATGTGCCTGGGAGCGGCATATGGGCCACACAGCGATATCCATATCTTGGCCAATTTTCATCAGATCATCAAGCGGAATACCTTAAAAGCTTTCTAGATCGATTCTCTATCAATCTGCATTAAAACCTCGAATCGAATTTTTGGATCCATTTTTAATCAATTTTTTCGATCGACTCCCTTGAAAATGGGGAAGTGCCTGGGAGCTGCATATGGGCCACACAGCGATATCCATATCTTGGCCAATTTTCATCAGATCATCAAGCGGAATACCTTAAAAGATTTCTAGATCGATTCTCTATCAATCTGCATTAAAACCTCGAATCGAATTTTTGGATCCATTTTTAATCAATTTTTTCCATGAAATTTTTTTCCACTCCCTTGAAAATGGGGATGTGCCTGGGAGCGGCATATGGGCCACACAGCGATATCTATATCTTGGCCAATTTTCATCAGATCATCAAGCGGAATACCTTAAAAGCTTTCTAGATCGATTCTCTATCAATCTGCATTAAAACCTCGAATCGAATTTTTGGATCCATTTTTTATTAATTTTTTCCATGGACTCCCTTGAAAATGGAGAAGTGCCTGGGAGCTGCATATGGGCCACACAGCGATATCTATATCTTGGCCAATTTTCATCAGATCATCAAGCGGAATACCTTAAAAGCTTTCTAGATCGATTCTCTATCAATCTGCATTAAAACCTCGAATCGAATTTTTGGATCCATTTTTTATTAATTTTTTCCATGGACTCCCTTGAAAATGGAGAAGTGCCTGGGAGCTGCATATGGGCCACACAGCGATATCTATATCTTGGCCAATTTTCATCAGATCATCAAGCGGAATACCTTAAAAGCTTTCTAGATCGATTCTCTATCAATCTGCATTAAAACCTCGAATCGAATTTTTGGATCCATTTTTTATTAATTTTTTCCATGGACTCCCTTGAAAATGGAGAAGTGCCTGGGAGCTGCATATGGGCCACACAGCGATATCTATATCTTGGCCAATTTTCATCAGATCATCAAGCGGAATACCTTAAAAGCTTTCTAGATCGATTCTCTATCAATCTGCATTAAAACCTCGAATCGAATTTTTGGATCCATTTTTAATCAATTTTTTCGATCGACTCCCTTGAAAATGGGGAAGTGCCTGGGAGCTGCATATGGGCCACACAGCGATATCCATATCTTGGCCAATTTTCATCTGATCATCAAGCTTAAAAGATTTCTAGATCGATTCTCTATCAATCTGCATTAAAACCTCGAATCGAATTTTTGGATCCATTTTTAATCAATTTTTTCCATGAAATTTTTTTCCACTCCCTTGAAAATGGGGATGTGCCTGGGAGCGGCATATGGGCCACACAGCGATATCCATATCTTGGCCAATTTTCATCAGATCATCAAGCGGAATACCTTAAAAGATTTCTAGATCGATTCTCTATCAATCTGCATTAAAACCTCGAATCGAATTTTTGGATCCATTTTTAATCAATTTTTTCGATCGACTCCCTTGAAAATGGGGAAGTGCCTGGGAGCTGCATATGGGCCACACAGCGATATCCATATCTTGGCCAATTTTCATCTGATCATCAAGCTTAAAAGATTTCTAGATCGATTCTCTATCAATCTGCATTAAAACCTCGAATCGAATTTTTGGATCCATTTTTAATCAATTTTTTCCATGAAATTTTTTTCCACTCCCTTGAAAATGGGGATGTGCCTGGGAGCGGCATATGGGCCACACAGCGATATCCATATCTTGGCCAATTTTCATCAGATCATCAAGCGGAATACCTTAAAAGATTTCTAGATCGATTCTCTATCAATCTGCATTAAAACCTCGAATCGAATTTTTGGATCCATTTTTAATCAATTTTTCGATCGACTCCCTTGAAAATGGGGAAGTGCCTGGGAGCTGCATATGGGCCACACAGCGATATCCATATCTTGGCCAATTTTCATCTGATCATCAAGCTTAAAAGATTTCTAGATCGATTCTCTATCAATCTGCATTAAAACCTCAAATCGAATTTTTGGATCCATTTTTAATCAATTTTTTCCATGAAATTTTTTTCCACTCCCTTGAAAATGGGGATGTGCCTGGGAGCGGCATATGGGCCACACAGCGATATCCATATCTTGGCCAATTTTCATCAGATCATCAAGCGGAATACCTTAAAAGATTTCTAGATCGATTCTCTATGAATCTGCATTAAAACCTCGAATCGAATTTTTGGATCCATTTTTTATTAATTTTTTCCATGGACTCCCTTGAAAATGGAGAAGTGCCTGGGAGCTGCATATGGGCCACACAGCGATATCTATATCTTGGCCAATTTTCATCTGATCATCAAGCGGAATACCTTAAAAGATTTCTAGATCGATTCTCTATCAATCTGCATTAAAACCTCAAATCGAATTTTTGGATCCATTTTTAATCAATTTTTTCCATGGACTCCCTTGAAAATGGGGATGTGCCTGGGAGCGGCATATGGGCCACACAGCGATATCCATAGTTTGGCCAATTTTTATTCGGTCATCAAGCGGAATACCTTAAAAGCTTTCTAGATCGATTATCTATCAATCTGCATTAAAACCTCCAATCGAAATTATGGATCGAATTTTTGTGAATTTTTCAGGGCTTTAAGGGCCGCAATGGTTCTATTTTTGACAATTTTAATCCGACTCAGAAGTCGAATACCTCAATAGAATTTTGGGAAAATTTTGTAAACTTTCTGAATCTTATAATTGCTGGAATATGATCTTTAAATATTCCTGCTTTTGTTGTGATATGTGGACTACCTTCAGGGTGGGTTTCATTCGTCCTAACTTGCTTTAAAAGCTACTGCGTATTGTAATTTGACTGACATAAGACATCAGCGTCAAGAGCCCTCTGAAAAAGCCCAGCTTCCCCCTCGGCTTTCACGCCACCACGACCACTTCTTTTCCTCCTCCTCCCCTTCCAGCTCAAGGACAACTATAGGCTTTTGTTTTTAGAAACATTTTCATTTTATAAATAGAACAAGAAGGCTACAAAAATATTAAATGAGTTTTATTATCTTACCTTTGCAGATCTACATCCTTGAGGACGTTATAATATTTGGTAAGTTTTGGCTATGCGCTACCATATCTTTAGGATTTTAACTTCATGTGGAATGAGCTGACTAATTGGAGGTCGGAGTCACGAATTAAATTCAAGTTTTAAAACCTGCTTAGCCCAAAACTCATTAACTGGCGCTGGAAACCATGCTTTCTGGTGGCAGTTGCAATTGCTCGGCGAATTTACCGCCACGCTCTTTGGCTCCTAATTGCAGTCTTTTGGCATCCGAAACTGTTCTTGCCCAATGAACCATGGGCCACATCCTTTGGATCCTGTGCCTGCGATTAAGCAGAAAGATGAATCAAAATGCAGCCACAGCGCAAAGCGAAATGTAATTTCAAATTTTTTGCGACGTTGGCGCGAAAATACTTTTCTTTCATTCATTCCCCCGTTCCTCCGTTTTTTTCTGATTATGCCGCATTAACTAAGCTGAGCTTCTCTGAACTACGTGACCCACTTTGCCATCACCACGCACCACCCACCATCCAGCATCTATGCTAAATGAGAGCCAAGAACTTTTGATGAAACATGATTGGGTGTGTGGCATTTGGCGTTGATTTGAAATCGTGTTATCTCTTGAAAATTGCATCTCTGAGATACATCTTGAATTTTGCAATTTTGAGTTTCGCATTCGCCCAATTAGGCTTCGTACTTGCAACTGGGTGAGGATTTATTAGCTTGAAAATGTTTCTCCATAATTAAACTCCAGAAATCAATCCAACCACATCCATAGACGCACTCGCTTTTAATTTAATTACTGGAGAATAATTATACATCAGAGAGTGGAATTTCCCCATCCACCTGCAGCTCCTTCCACTTGGCCTAATCAAACATGTTGATGGGCAAAAACCACGACACCCACACATGGAAATATAATGGAGAAGCCCCCAGTTAGCGGAAATTGAGCAACCTAAACAATTGTCAATTAAATTTGGTCCCTGCTCCTGCCACTGACGGGTGGCATGAATGCCAAGACACGTTCGATGCGGTGGTGGAATTTTCAATCGTTTCGCACCTCCCACACCCACTCGAAGCCTCCCACTCCCACCCACTCCAAGGCTGTTGGGCTCACAGACGCGTCTCTAATTTGCATAAAAAGGTGTATCAGTTGCACCCCTTTCAGTGGCCAGTGGCAAGTGCCATACAGGCGCAACCAACTGTTGCATGAATTGGCATAACCAATACCGAAAATGGGGGATGGTAGGACACCCCCACCCAGGCCCAGGCCTTGATTAAATTTTATAATTTTAACGGACAATTTCCCGATAAATTTCGCTCGCAGGCAGCCGTGATTTGTTGGGGAAATCCCTCCACAAACGGAATAAATTATTCACCAAAGAGTGTCCTGAAATTAGTTTTGACCAAAATGTTGTCACGTTTAATACTTTGTGTTGTCGCCATTAAAATTCATGAAGGCTTTGGATGGCTTTCCATTGTGTCCAACTTTGAAGAGAATACAAGAAATATTTAGTCTTTACACAATTATTGCTTTATTACTTTCTGGTCACCTGACCAGATATTTATTAAAGTGATCATTTGGCACTACAAGAAAACATAATGAATGAATAACCATTTATACGATTGTGTCCCTTAGTTGGAAACAGAAAACAGAAATTTAATTTCGTAATTGAATGGTTTGCCTTTGCCCTCTTCCAGGCCAGTGACCAAGCCTGTCTCCCCTTTTGCTTCGTCTGTCTGCCAATTTAATTGAAAATTTATCAGTTTCATTTGCATACGAACCCGAAAAGACACTCCAACCTTTTGAACTGCAAAAGCCAACAGAATTTTGCAACTCACATGCACAGAACATGCCGGCTATGAGGTTTTCCTTTTTATTTTCCTTTATCGAGTATTTCAAATCCGTCCTGAATATTCTAGATTGGTTTTTAGACGTTTTGTGAGGATAGGTACTTTTTGGCTTAATGATAATTAACAAGAAAGGAAAGCTAACTTCGGGCGGAGCCGAAGTTTATATACCCTTGCAGCTAAAACCGGATATATATCGCAAAAATCGGATATAGTTGGCCGATCCTTATGAAATTTGGTAGGATAGATCAAAATATAATCTGTACCAAGTTCCAGCTTTCTATCTTCAAAAACACAAAAGTTGAGTCATTTCCGATCGTTCAGTTATATGGCAGCTATAGGATATAGTCGGCCGATCCTAATGAAATTTGGTAGGTTGGATCAACTAACCAAAAATAGAGTCTGTACTAAATTCCAGCTTTCTATCTTCAAAAACACGAAAGTTGGGTCATTTCCGATCGTTGAGTTATATGGCAGCTATAGGATATAGTCGGCCGATCCCTATGAAATTTGGCATGTCGTATTATTTTGCCAAAAATAGCTCTCATGTCAAATTTGAACTCTCTAACTCTAAAAACACCAAAGTTATACCATTTCCGATCAATCAGTTATATGGCAGCTATAGGATATAGTCGGCCGATCCCGGCCGTTCCGACTTATATACTGCGTGCAAAGGAAAGAAGGGTGTGTGCAAAGTTTCAAGACGATAGCTTTAAAACTGAGAGACTAGTTTGCGTAGAAACAGACAGACGGACAGACGGACAGACGGACATGCTCATATCAACTCAGGAGGTGATCCTGATCAAGAATATATATACTTTATAGGGTCGGAGATGTCTCCTTCACTGCGTTGCACACTTTTGGACAAAATTATAATACCCTCTGCAAGGGTATAAAAACTGTATTTCTTCCACTGCCACTATACGACACTGTCGGCGTGAAAAACTTCACATGCCATCGTTAAAATATTTGCGTTGGCTGGCACCCTCCCAGCCAGGGAGGCGTTTAACACCCCAGCGCCCGCTTCCTGGAACATTAACTGTCTGTGTCGCACTTTGTCGCTTAATTGAGGCTGTCAGCGTGTGGGTGTTGCTCCGCTCCGCTCGCTTATTAATTTATTTTTTATGTTTAATAACGGGCGCACGGCATTGGCGATGGCGCCATTGCCGTTGCAGGCGACTGACGCCAGAAAAGCACCGATAAACCAAACCGAACCGACCATAACAATAACACTGGAACTGGGGCTGGGGCTGGGGATTCAACGCGGACGCACAATGAGCTTGTAAATTAATATCGAGCCATATACGAGGAGGTATAGCTGGCATGCGCCACCCACCCGTCGACTATTATCTGTGGGGGCCACTGATATCGATCAGATGTCAATAGTGCGAGAAATAGGTTCATAAATATTCATGCTTTTGGAAGGAAATTCTAAACAACTGTAGTATCTATCAAGTATCTTTGAGATAAACGAGCTCTTAAATTTAACAACTCGACAATTAAAGCCTGGCGGGCATTGGAGCCACTTCTGGGCCGGCTTGAGGGGATTACTTGCCTCACTTTATTCAGCGGTCGTTTAATTAATAGCAAGCTGATTAATTAGTATTTGTGGGCGATATCCTCTGCCGCCCCGAGGGAGCAATGTCCGGGTCGTAGTCCTGCATTTTCCGGTTAAAACCGCGGGAATTGCATTATTCGCATCTACACAGCCGTGTAAATGGGCTGGCTGGAGGTCGCTGCAGGTCCGACTGCCAGATCAAATTGCCATTAATTTCATTAGTTGATTGTCGTCATGGAAATTCCCTTTGTGGACTTTATAATTGCCCCAACCGCAGGGTGGGTCATAAAAAGGGAACGGAGGGGATTTATGCATCTAGTGCCGGTCTGTGTCTATAAATTGGATTGGAGTGGGTGCGAAAATGGAGAAATTGTGTTTGTTTTGTGGTGGCTGTCAATTGCAGATTCCCTGTAAACATTCGCACGTTAATTGTGCCAAAATTTAGAGAATGGGTGGGATGACAGAAATATCCTCTTAAATAGAGTTCTTAGTGGTCTTAAATTTAATGGAAATATGAATTTGGTCTACCTTCCTACATTGATTGTTTTTATAGCCTTCATGCTGCTTCATCCTGCTGCCAATATTATTCCTACGTATCCATCAAAGTAGAATCAATTTATTTCAAACTTCCGCAAAGCACGTGACAAGGGTTTTTCCTAGCCTCAAAGTATTTCCCTTTCCCCATTTGTATACCGTGTCTTCATCGCTCCCTCCGTGTCCTTATGGAAGCCCAATATCCTTGCCGAATCGCTTTGCTGCAATCGAAACTTTTTAGATTACCAAAGGACCAAAAGGAGGAAGCACACACATACAATTTTATATGGAATTATATTGCATTTTTATTACCTCGCCGCATATAAATTTTTGTCAAAGCAGCCGCCGGGCACGTAACGTTTTAAAAAACAATTTCGGCTTGATACAATTTCTTGTATTATCACCAGAAATGTATGCAAACATACTCCGAATCGTAGGAAGGAGGCAGCTTCCCAGAAAGATACACATGGAGGCTGTACAATGGGGCGTATGGGCAATTTTATTTGCATGCGTGCGCTCCAACGGTCGCCTTGCGGCTGCTTATCACTTTATATATATTATATGTGTGTATAAGGCAGTAGAGAGTGTCTTGGCCAATCAGCGATGAGGCATAACACGTATACGCCACCGTTTCTGGAGGAACTCCAAAGCTTAAAACGGCAAAACAGTATAGAAGTAAGCAGTATGCCTGAACTTAACAACTAATAACCTTTTTTTGGTTAAAATAAAAACCATTTCTGACAGATTATATAACAGTATTTTGTTTGCAAAAATACACAAAGAGACGGATGACGAAGGATGTGTGTGTACATACATGTGTGTACATATGTATATTTTTCCCCGGAGGGGAGGAAGCTGTTGTTTATTGTCTGACAAGGTGACGCCCTTAATGCGTTTTCATGCCTTATTTAAAATGATTTCCAGCCAACCACTCAGGAAATTACTTTCATTTATTGCTTTTGTTTTTCCGCTCATGAAATTGTGCGTATTGTGGCATGGAAATCGCTCTATCTTGGCACCTGTTGAGGCTTTTCAATTAAAGATGCGGAATTAAAGAGTGTCATAAAAATGACACATGTTATGGACCGCTTTGAACTAAAACTCA